AAAATAAATCAAAGAGTAGGAAACTAAAGAAAGAGGAAAATTCTGGAAGCGGTAATAGCAGAACGAAGCAGCAATAAAGTTAGTACACCGGAAGATGCATACAGATTACATTGCGTCATCGGTTATCACTACTGAACGAACGCTACTGCAGTACCTGGACTTGCTGCATTGTCTGTTTTACCATGTGCTACATCTTGCATTGTATATTTGCTATTGTACCACTTGACACAACTGCATCCGTCGCGAATTCTAGCTACGAACGTGGTATTAATAGGATTCTTCATCGCATTGGGGGCAGTTATGAAAAGCTTGACCTTTCCTCAGGTGGTTTATCACCGCGAGATGCAGAATCGTTGCGCATCATGATCCGGATTGGACGGTGGTCACGCATTCCTTGATTCGTTTTTAATTAATTTATTTATAAATTTAATATATGAGTGAAAAAATATTTAGTTCACTAGATTATTTATGAAATTTAAGTTGAGACTGTTCCTCGTCTCGCTAGAAACTTTTTCAAGTTTTGAGCAGGCACTCTCTACCTTAAACATGATTGAGTTCTTAAAGTACCGATATGTTCTCGCCTGAAAACGATATACAAAGTTTGGGCTACTTCCTTCGATAACCCAAAACGGGTTAAATAATATTTGGCTCTCACCTATGATACGCTCAATTGGCTCTCTTTGAGGTGTTAGCTTCAGTATAATTGGAAAAATAAATTATCGGGAAAATAATTATTACTTCTACGTGTCACTTCCTGGTTTTATGCAGCGTGACTAGGACATTTTGTCCGTCTAGCGTTCCATGACATCATGGTAGCTGCAGTTACTTCAGTTCTCCATCCAACCTTGGCATGTCGCCCAAATGCTCTCGGAAAGAAGGACATGATTCGATAACTCGGCGTAAACGCTGAGATGATACACATACATGTATATTTTGTTGTAATCAGTTCTGTCGAAAGCACTTTTGTTAATGTATCCAGAATATCATGAATATTGTTGAAAATTAGTTTAATTCCTGCATGGTCATCCCGCCGTGTTCCCTGTGGTCTGTCTGTAAATACCTAAGGTTAGTGAACAACAAAGCAGGAACCTGGTAGAGCTGTGTTTGTACTAGAAGAATGTTAAGCGAACGTATAGCGGGTGCCATGATGCAAATATGAAAAGTTGGCTTACACCTTATATTGCAAAAGGTGGATTCCTTCGACCGGTAAACCCTGGTTTAAAAAATAAGCAGTTATGCTGGTGATTACTGCCATGCACCTACCTTAGCGTCTTCGATTTTTTCGATTATTTTCATGTTTCATTTGGAGTAACTTTTTGTAGGAAATCTTTCTGTGCATTGATACCATGAGAGTCATGTTATCGTCGGCAATATCCACTGCTAAATTTCTGTTGTTTCGTTTTATGACGTTGCTCTCAAGCCTAAAGGAACCTTGCTCAGAATTAAGAAGTTTTTATGATATAGTTTGGGGACTTGTGCCAACTTCTCACTCCACCAAGAATTGTTCGAAATCTTTTCTAAAATATAATGATTTTATAGGAAATTATTTTGAGTTATGTGCTTGTTAAATTTGCTACGTGTTTTGTTTTTAGACGCCCTACGAAGGCAGAATGTACAGCTTGAAAGTGGACTGTGGTCCCAGGTACCCTGCGGAACCTCCGGCGGTGCGTTTCATTTCGAAGATCAATATGTGTGGGGTTAATGTAGCGAACGGCGTTGTAAGCATCATTTCCTTTTTACTTTGTTTTCTCGTTTGTTACTTCATATTTATAATCGGTAACCGACATTGCTTATTTGATGCATTCCTTTAACTTTAACCCTGTATGTGTGTGTGTTTGTGTTGACTTTCATCTTGTGTGAGGAAGAATAAGAATTATTTTCGATATAATTGAATTGAAAATCTTAAAGGAAACTCGCGAATTTTGTGCGTGAGATCATGAATGGAATTTTCAGCTACCATCTGTAATCATTCCTGAGTGTAGCAGAGCTATCCATTTTCTCGTCGCCTCTACTTTTTGAGCAGAGAAATCTGGCTATTCTTGATATAAGACAGAACGGAAGGTTCCATTGACGTTGGGCATTTTATTTCCCGTGAGACGATTGCCAACCGTCC